CACACTGGGGATCAAATTTCCACATGAGTTCTGGGAGGACAATACATCCAAACTCCATCACATGCAATGATTTGTGAGTAGCTAAACACTGATTAAGAAGTTTAACCATTAAATTTTAACTATTTTCTAATTTTTCTTTGTCCATATTTGATTATTTAAGGATAAAGTTACTTTAAAAACAGCCACCCCTACAGAAAAGACATCTGAGAATCAAACCAAGCAAATTAATCTCCCACTTTTGCAAGTGCAAAAAATGTCTCAAGACCCAGAAATGAATAAGGATCGTAATAGAGAGGACATACCTGTATATCCAGGACAACCTTTCATGCAGAAGTATGAGGGGGGGTGGATACAACAAGAAAAATTAGAGTGGAAGAATAACTCACAAGTCATCACCAGTGAGTTAAAGCAGAGATTTGGTGAAATTCGTGAAAAGTACAGAATTGCTGCTTGTTCTGAGGAAGAGCCACTACGTGATAACTCTAAAGGAGAAGCAGATTTAAAGAAAATCCCCTCTAATTTGACAAATGATATGCTCGATTGTGAAGGGAAAGATGCATTTGGATTCTCTGGAGTACTCCAGGCATTTCCTGAACAAAAAGAAGACCCCAGTCTTAAAAATATCTTTCCACCTCATTCACACTCTGGGTCCCCAGAATATGCTTGCCAGTCATCTTCTAAGCTTTATTTAAATGAAAATGAATTAGACCATGAAAATAACAAACCAGACACCGAGTTTGTTTTTAACACAAATGAGAATTTGTGTAATGATACAGAAAATAAAAAAGGAAGGAACCAAGAAGTAGTTACAGTTGAAGTGAAAGAAGACCAAGAGTTTGATATGCAGATGACAAAAAACATGATCCAAAATACCACTGATGGGGAGTTAGACATTGGCCATGTGCCCCAGTCTAGTGATCCAAAAAGCCTTTCTGATGTGTGGCTTACCCACTCCAGTGAAATGAAGCATATGTCTCAAATAAAAGGACAGAGGACTGCTGTTACAGAGCCTTACAAGAAAGCAAAACTGACAAAGCACTTGTTCCAGAAGCCT